ACCAATGTGATGAATTAATTCAACAAGAGTTAAGGAATATAATAATTTTAGTTTTAGATAAGAATTATATTAATAATTCTTAGTGTGTTTACCCGCGTATTAATGCGGATCATATTCTAGTGTATTTCTTACATTGGGATGCTCTGTATTTTCATTAAACTTATTCATGGTTACCAATAACATAATATTTTACTTTATTTTTATCATATATAGATAATGAATCAAAATATAATAAATAGTAACATCAATAAGATTTAACATATCTTTTTTTACGTTTTCATGCGGTTTATCTTTATTGAATTTATTCGATTATCGATAACATATATTTTATTTTTTTCAAATATAGATAATAGTATTATTAAAATTCGCGTATCACGCGAATCCTTTTGAAATAAAATTTTCTTTCAAATATTGGTACACAAAAAACGTAGCTCTTATAAGTGATCTCCATATATAGTTGTAATTTGTTCATTGCAGGTTAATTTGTCAAGAAACCACAAAAAGCCGTGTGCATCCATTATCTGATAGTTCACTCTTAATTATTTATACCACAAAATTACAATCTCGGTCAGTCAGTGAATGTTGTGAACATCAAAAAGGACCGAACCACCAATTGCCTCAAACTATAGAGATCTGAAGAAGGAGAGATGAGACATATCATCTCTGGTTCATATAGTGATCAAAAGACTCAGCAAACCTAAATGGTTCTAAAGGGTGACAAAATTGTTGCAGATCGAAATCATATTTTTTTGAAAAAAAAAAAACTAATTGGGATCTTATCACCAATGTGCCGTAGAAAATCATGAGAAATTTTGGTATGCAAGTCGACAAACATTTGATTCATTTAACTCATTTAATAGTGCCATATGTACAGAGGAGTTGGTGAAGATGTCTACGCTAGAGAGTTATATTCCTTCATGTTAGCAAAGGCCAAAGGAGCAACATTATTTTAAGTTGTCTTCGCTATATATGTTACCTGTTTCTATGAAAACAGTACACATTCCTTTCTGCATGCTAAAACCGTGGTATATTGTACTATCTTATTATCCCAATCCATCCATTATTGACTTCTTTTAGGTTGAGCAAAATAATATAAATGAAAAGAAAGTATATTTTAGTATTAGCGATACCTAACATCCACGATGCGCGATCATGACAAAAAACTAATAAATTATGTCCTCTTGGCTTCGATAGGAAAAAAAAAAAGAAAAGGGTCAAGGAATTTGCCTTATAAAATGACCCTGTTTCAACTCATCATCATCATCAG